GGAGTGACTAGGAGTAACGGTCACAAGCTGGCAGAGGGTAGATTCAGGCTAGATATCAGGAGGCGCTACTTCACAGTCAGGGCAGCTAGGATCTGGAACCAACTTGCAAGAGAAGTGGTGCTGGCTCCTACCCTGGGGGTCTTTAAGAGGAGGCTAGATGAACACCTTGCTGGGGTTGTTTGACCCCACTACTCTTTCCTGCCATGGCAGGGGGTCGGACTCAATGATCTGCTCAGGTCCCTTCTGACCCTACAAATTATGAAACTATACCTTAAGATAAGGATTAATAATCTTTAAGAACAACAGACTGTGGTTTGCAACCTGGCTGCTGCCACAGGCAACAGATCCCCTCTTTCCTGCCACCCCTGAAGAGTCCCAGTCCTCCTGTTCTGTGCCAAGGGCTACAGCATTCACTCACCTTTGCCACCAATGTCCATTGCCAATAGAAATGTGGGGTAGAAGGGAGTGAATCTGGCAGTGAGTGTAAGCTTTTACTTGTTTTTTGACCATGAAGAATTTCTTTATAATTTTTTTCTTTTTTCAGAGAACCAAAACAGGTCAGAATGTGTTTGGCACTATGGAGTACTGTTTGTAATCTCTGGGCGTATCTTATGAATCATGTGTAAGCACCCTGATTGAGAATCTCTGCACTAGTGCTTCATCTGTTTACAAACCTTGTACCAAATCCACTTTTTAACTTTTTTTCCCCCTTGATGAGCTGAATCTCTTATCTATAAATGTCCATATATGCAACTTCCTTTAAGATCTTCCTCTAAAAAAAGTATAATTTCCAACCTCCCTCCCACATAATCCAAATGAAAGAAACCTATAAATGTAATTATCTATTTGAACTTCACAAATATCAAACTAATATAAGCAATACATTTTCTTTACCCAGACGACTTCAGATCTTTTAGGCTTTGAAATAGCATTTAATTAGATGCTGTATTATAGTTTCATTGAGATGTCCCCTGGCAGTCATAGACTGTCGCACTGTAGTTTTCCTTATTACTGTAAATCATCACTTTACATAGGTTTCTCCAGTGGACCATTAGTAGAAATGACAAAGTAAGTAAAGTTGGACCGTACATTAAAATCTGTTCTAGTTTAAAAAAAAAGAGAGAGTCACAGTCAGATGCCTGTGGAACCCACTTTAGAGGTCTTTTCAGTTTGACAGCAGTTTACTGATAACTCCTTTTGGAGTATACATTTTCCAGTTAGCTAGCTGTGAAATCATTTTTATGGAGCTTTCCTCTACACCAAATTTCACTGGCTTATGAGAACAACATGGGACTACGTTACAGGCTCCTTTAAGGTCAAGATTATTACAGCTGCAGGCTTCCCCCTCTTAGTGTAACCCTTTTCTTTTTTTTGTAAAAGGAGGAAATTGTGAGTAGTTTGTAACTAATTCATTAGTTTTTCACGAACAAATCCTATCAGTTTCTTTCTGGATCCTCATGGTAGGCTGAGTGGTATATACAATCCCAGGTCCTCCACATCCCTACTAACCCAGCTATTTAAAATGAGATAGATACTATGTTTGCCCTTCTCCAGTCCTCTGGGACCTCACCAGACATTTATGAGCACTCAAAGTTTCAGCGAATGCTTTGGCTAAGGCCTTACGAACTGTACAGTGAATGTCTTCAGACCCTACTAATTTGACTGCCTTTAAGTATTCTTTTACCTCTTTTTTCCCTATCCTGGTCTATGCTCAAGTCTCCTTCAAATTAATCTCAGTAAGTAACTTCTCACAATTAACCTTTTCAGGGAAGCTTCATCTGTTATGTCATCAGGCAGGGCCCTCACAGGCAAAGGAAGATTTAGCGATCATGTTGGAGATGTAGAATTTCCCAACTAATGCGTATTCTTCCCTCCGAGGTAGCTGTTTTTTCCATCCACAACCAATCCATGGGCTTATAAGAGTACATTCTAGATTACAACATGAGCAAGTGATTTTCCCACCCATCTTTAATTACCTATCTTTAATCAGTGACTAATGAAGAAGAACTATTTGACTTCAAAGAGACCTGTGAGAGTTCAGACATTAAACACTAACCAACCAGAAGGGCAACTTAGTTCAGTCTGTAACCAAGCCAATATTTCAAAACAGGCTAAAAAAACTAAACTTGAAAAGGGAGTGGACTGGCCCAGAGACCCACATTCCACAGTAAGCGTCTCAGCAGCATTACTAGCCCTTGCTCAGCAAGCTCTGCACAGAGCAGCCAGCAGTAGAGTGAAGACAAAGAAGTCAGCAAGCAGGCAGGGAGTGGGGTTAACATAAGAGAAAAGAATGAGGGAACACTGAAAGAAACAGAGGCAGAAGAGGAAACACTTCACTAGACAAAAAACAAACAAACCTCACATATGCAGCTGCACTAAACTTGGCAGCAATGTGCCCTGCACTTGGCACCCCATAGACTGCCTGAATTTCCAGCATTTCTTTTCTCTAATTGTCCCTCAGCCTAAGCACAGTTGGGAAGAGACATAACCAAGATTTTCAGAATTAAATTAGGTGACTGAGCTCCACAAGCTTGTCCATTTCTGTTGAATAGAATGCAAAACATATCATCCAAGACTATCTTTAATATACTTTCCAGTTATTCTGAATCTTCAGGGAGCTTCTGTTGGCCCTTTATTTCAGGGTTCAAAGTATTTTCCATCTCATTGTCAAATATTATGATGGCAAATATTACCACCTGGTGTTTAAACACACTCACTGTAAAAGAACAGCCTTTCTAGTAAGCAGAAGCGTTTTACACATTCTTTTTTTGTACATCAGTGGTTCTCAACCTGTTCAGATTTGAGGCATCCCTCGTTAGGGTTGAGACAGCCCTTGAAAATGATAGATCTTAGTTTTCACTTGTTTCTTGACTACAGAAAAATAATAAAGCAATTTTCTACTGCAAAGTGCTCAAAAAGACTCCAACAGATCAAAATGTTTTAACATTATGGTTTCTTATTTGAAATCTCTGGGTTTCTTATGCTTGTGCACCTGACAGTGCTAACATTGTATAGCACCCTGGGGTACTCTTGGAA